TGTCAAAAAATATAAATTAATGGGGACTAAAATATTTTTTGTTGTTGCTGGTTTTAAAAGATTTGGGCTGATCTTAAGATTAAAATTAAAAGTGAATTTTTCTTTATAAAAGACCTTTCAATTATTGGTGATGTTTTCTCTAAGTCAGCGAATCATAGGGCTATTTGAATTCCATTGGCATATTTTTAATAAATATCAGGATAGAATGAACTGAACCTTTTCATAAAAATAATTATATTTTACAACAAATTAAGCACATACATGTATATAAAAGTTATACCGAGTTATTGCGTACATGTATAAGTAATTCATGTTTTTATTACGTCGCTATATAACGTCGACGTCGCTACAAGAGAAAATTTATAAAATACGACGTCAGCTGTAAAATAATGCATACTTTGAATGCCTGTAAATCCGTAACGGAGCAAGATACACCTGTAATATTTACAGGTTATATTTAAATAAGGTTCTACATCAATTTTCAAGAAAAAAGTCATTTTCGAAAATTTTTGACATAAGGGGTTTTTTTTCTTGGAACGACTCAAATATACATCGTTGTGAAAAAAAGGCTAGCAGTAATGTGACATCATTTTTTGTATTGTACTCATAATACAGTTTGGGCAGAGATAATGTTGAAGTAAAATCATTCCAAAGTCAATTCAAAGTAGTTCCTAACGTTGTCAATTGTTCTTTTATTAATTATTCCACTTGAATCATAAAATAATCAGTTGAGTAATCAACAAGGCTCATAAAAGGATCTATGAAGCTACCAAAGTTATTTAAATCCAGTTTCGTAAATCCACAGTATTTCTTTTAAGTTAAATATTAAAGTTGATCATATTCGGAAGAAAAAATGGTCGAATCTTCATTTTTTTTTGGCAGCAGAAGCGAATTGGATAATTAGCAATATATTTTTCATTGGAATATTAGCAATATATTTACTCATTGCATATTGATCAAAATTATATTTTAGATTGAAAAAACGATAGGTATTCAGACATTCAGAGGGATTTTCATGGTTTTATACATATTTGGTATTTTTTACCTTCTATTCCCGTCATATATCCTATATTATCACACATTTTCCCCTTTATCCCGTTGATATAACTCATGTGATATCGTTTTCGTATCAACACTATGTACTCCTTCGCCGTGTGACGTAATGTAAATAAACAAATACATGTGTATGATGGAGAGAATGACTTTATTGTCAAATTTCACTTTATTTGATGTATTTTAATAAAAATTCATTCATGAATTTAAAAAAAATACGCGCTGAAATATTTTTTTTCTTTTGTATTTGTACGAACTATTTCATAAAGCGAAATTTTATTTTCTACGTAATTTGGTCTGAGGTACACGAAAAGGAACTTTGAATTAGAAATAACGACAAAAATACACATTTATAGTGAACAAAAATATGTAATAAAAAGAATCTCCCATGGTTTGTGGTTTGATATGATTTTTATCCAACTCGTTGTGTGTTTTCTATCCCCTCGTCAAGGCTCGGGGATAGAAAACACACAACTTGTTGTATAAAAATCATATCAAACCACAAACCATGGGAGATCCTATATATACATAGTGTTTAAAGGCTTTTACTATCATTAAAAGATATCACAAACCATTCTCAGTTCATATCATGCTCATAAGCCTTGGAAGATGTATCTAAGCCTTGGTTTAAGAAAATCTTATTTCTCTTAGAATGTATTATTATTTTTATACCCCTGCTCCGAAGGAGAGGGGGGTATACTGTTTTGCCCTTGTGTGTCTGTCCGTCCGTCTGTTTCTCTGTCCAAAAAAGATATTTAGTCGCAATTTTTTCAGTAACTACACATCACAAATGCTTGAAATTTTAACACAATCTTTTCTGAGGCACGCCATATGGTGGGATACATTTTCGCTCAAATCGGATATTAACTTTCTGTTTGTCTCTGCGTCTGTCCGTTTCAAACATTACAAATTTTCGTCGCAGTTTTCTCAGCAACTACTCATCGTAGATGCTTAAAACTTTAATACAATCTTCTCTGAGACATGCCATATGGTGGGATACATTTTCTTTCAAATCGGATATCAACTTCCTGTTTGTCTGTTCATCTGTCCGTTTCATACACAACAAATTTTCATCGCAGTTTACTCAGCAACTACTCATCTTAGATGCTTGAAATTTCAACACAATCTTCTCTGAGAAATGTCATATGGTGGGATGCATTTTCACTCAAATCCGATGTCAACTTCCTGTTTGTCTGTGCGTCTGTCTGTTTCATACATCACAAATTTTTGTCACAGTTTTCTCTGCAACTACTCGTTATAGGTGCTCAAAATTTTAACAAAATCTTCTCTGAGGTATGCCATATCTTGGGATACATTTTTTTTTTCAAATCGGATTTCAACTTCCTTTTTTGTGCGTCTGTCTCTTTCACACATAACAAATTTTCATTGCAGTTTTCTCATTAGCTATTCATAGCAGATGCTTGAAATTTTATTACACCCTTTGTTGAGGCATGCCATATGGTGGGAGTAATTTTGATATGAATCTGTGTCAACTTCATATTTTTCTGTGCATCTGCCTGTAATTGAACTTGTGTAGACATATTAACATGATAGTGCTTATTTACATCAAAGCAGGGGTATTACTAGTGAGCATTGGCTCACAGATTTCTTGTTTTTTCTTTAATAGGATACGAATGTCACCTTTTAAAAGACCTTTTCTAAGACTTCCAAAAACCTTTTCTTATGAAGAGGAATTAGATGAGAATTTTTTAATGAAAATTTTCAAGTTTCATTTGATGCATTTCAAATTAGATATTAATTTTCGGAGTTATCCTTCCTGGCTGAGTACAGGATATGATTAATTAATGTTAAAGGGTTCTCCATCATTTCAACTTTAGCTGTGTCGCAAGAATTGCAAAAAGTACCAATATTCGTTGTCAATTCGCGACTTATTCACGAAGATATCCCCAATATACACAATTGAAAAAAACACATAGAACCTATGATTCAATATTTCAATACAAGTAGCATTCATTTTCTGGTACAATGTAAGACGAAATTTAAGAATTATGATTTTAAAATTGATATCGATTTAATATAACGTAGAACAAAGATTATATTGTTTCCACAATATATACTTTGAAAAAAGACCCTCCTTCACAAGTAAATGGAAATAACGAACAGTATTCAATCTCAACGTCTGTTAAACAAATATACGAAATAAGAGCAGAGCAAACACGGACCTCCGAAACATCAGAGGAGGGATCAGGTGCCATGGAGGAGTGAGCATCCCCTACCGACCGGTCACACTCGCCGTGTGCTCGTTGTCATAATCAGGAAATAACGGAAAAAATCCGTGGTCAATTCAGTGTATAAATGAATGGACTAACAATTGCTATGAAAAACGTCAGTCAGCATTTCATTCAATGATAAATTGTATTTCCTGACTAGGAAAAAGGGCAGGTGTCCAGCGTTGTCTAGAAGATAATTGATTGTGAAGCCAAACAATGGGCCCTAATTTGAGTAAATTAACAACAAATATTAGAAAAAGCGATATATGGTAAGTGTCAATTGGCCCCTTAAAATGGATATCTTAATTTTACTTTATACATGTATATAGTTTTAATTTGTTCAGCTATATATGCCATCTTTATTGGTCATTTTAATTTTGATCAAAATGCAGTTATTTTAGAATTATAACATCATAAAAATCACGTTCCCCCGCCAATTTAACCAATTTTTTTTTTTAAATACTGCTTATTTTCAAGCAGTTTTTCTTTCAGAAAATATAGAGTGCAGCCTAGAACAAAATTTATATTTTAACCAAAGATGTTTATATTCAATACTTATTAGTGATAGAAAAATTATGTACGTTCTACCCTGCGCTCTATGTTTCCCATAAGAAAACAAACATTAAGTAAAAAGGATTTAGTTTTGCTTTTTTGTTAGATAGCAAAACTAGCATTATTTCTCATGTCATTTACAGCTAGTGAGTGCATATAGATGTGAAAAAATATATTGGAAATATTTCTTATATAATCCCAAATATAAATAAAACATATTATCTATATGTCATTCTAAAATTTTGATTTGTAGGGGGCCAAAATTGGATCTTATCCTTTAGTCAGGAAAATGTGAGGTTAGGAAGTTTATTCAATTTAATGAAAATAATTACATTTATTGTTTTAACAACGACGGTCTTACTGTGGCGCTGAATTTTTTTATTGTGGCGCTAAGGATTTTATCTGTGGCGGGGCACAGCAATGAACGGCCTCTGGAAATCCCTGATGATTCATTTGACAGTTCATTCTCTTCTGATATATAGAAATGCTAAAGAATACTGAATCAAAGTTCAATGTACATTAAATAGAATGATGACATTGTTTCCTTAGGAAATCCATTGAAAAGTGCATATGAAATAGGGGTGGAACAAACACGTTCCTCCATAAGAATAGAGGTTGGATCAGGTACCATTTTAATGCAGAAATGTATTTTGACTTCCAGCTAAGATGAGTATAAGGATTGTCGTACGTGTCAATGTGAACCTTCCTTCACTGCACATATTGTCGTCAATTAGTAATATTTTTGCCGATGGCAATATGTACCGAAACAAGCCTTATTTCCTTCCTAAATAAGGGACAAAAATTGAGTCAAGTACAGACAAACATTATTGTCAGCGGCGGTATGTGCAGTCAAAGTCGGTATACACAGATATCGATATAATGTTTCATGGGCAATTAATTAGAGAAAAAAAGAAAGATTGACAAACACGCATGCGCACACAAAGAGAGAGACAAACATCACTATGCTGTATTTGGATACCGCAATACTTGAGATATCTGATACATCAGCCTATTTCTATTTCTTGCAATATATCCCTTGAGAATGAAATATACGTATGTATTATCTTTTTAAATCAATATTTATGATTAATTGGATATTTCAACCCAGCAGTAATGTCATTATTAAAGAAGTCTGTCTTAAAATAAGGGACACTATCGAGATCTCACGAGGAGCTATCAGAAGGAAACGGCGTACAGCGTAGGATACCAGTGCTCTAAGCAGGAGGTGTTTTGTGAACATGACGATTGTTTTGTTGAAGAAACTTATATTTCCGGAAGAAAGGATGTATCATGTCCACGACATGAAATACCCCATAACCATTTATTGGATGCATCTGTCCTTTTGCATTACTGGAAATAGGTAAATACTACTCAGAGAGAAAAAGAAAGAAAGAGAGCGGGTAAAATTCATATTTAGTTTATTATTCTCCTGCAGAATGTTTGTTATAAAAATTCAAAATCATTCATTGATTTTAAAATTTATCTTGTTTTTTTAAAAGGATGATCCAGTTGACATTCCTGGTAAGGCAAAAGTGTATATAAAAAAATAGAGACCAACTTCAAACAAACTCAGTTATATTCTAATTTCTCTGAAAGGAATGACGTAAGATGATGTTTTTACTCTGGAAGTTTTCATCAGAACTATTACTTTTACATTATTAAAATTAATTCAAGTTTATAAACAATAAATAAATGTAATTATTATATAGTCTATTTATAGTCCCTATATAATCTATACAAACGCAAACAGTTCATAACACTACATATTCACCGGATTTTAGGCCGTATTCACCGGAGGGTCAATTCGCGTGCAACGTCATTGTGACGTCACAATCAAAATATCAAACAACGTTGTAAACAATGGTTGCAACGGCCGCAGCGAGCTACGTATCCGAGCAGGAAAACGATTATTCAAACCTTTTTCAGGATTATTTTTTAACATTTGGACGTCTTACACATAGCCAAACTCGGAAAGGAAAACACGGAGGTTACAAACAGTAATCTGGAGATTTTTTTATTTTCAACAATGGAAGATCGCAAATGAAAATGGTGTCGTCATACAGCCTTCAATGTCTTATCTATACAAATCCCGACTATATAATAAAACAATTATGGACTCTTTTGGTGTTGAATATGGTTTGTTATTCACCAGAAAAATATCCATATTGACCTCGGCTTCGCCTCGGTCAATATGAATATTTTTCTGGTGAATAACAAACCATATTCCACACTAAAAGAGTCCATAATTGTATAATAAATAAAAATTGTTTAGTTGTATATGAATTTCATGCTTGAAATATTTTGGTCATACTTACAGGCGATACTACCTGCGAGTATGTTCCTGAATTGTCGGAACCACAAGTTATCTGTCGTTTGTTCGAAGAGCTCACTTTGATCGGATAGGATGCAATTTTTTTTTTAAAAATCAGTTTCCAAAATGAAACGTCCAAACAATGCCAAGGAATGGGTTTGCTGTGTCCAGGTAGTATAAATTCATCAATAAACACCTATTTTCATTTAGAAAATAAATTTTCTGTGCTAGAGAAATATATATTCTGTGTTTATGGATTTATTTTAATATTGACCCAATTTTTCCCTTTTTTAGCTTACCTAAGCCAAACGCTCAAGTGAGCTTTTCTGATCACAATTTATTCGTCCATCCGTCTCTATACTTTTTACATTTACGACTTCTTCTAAAGAACACTTGGCCAATTTTAATCAAACTTAATACAAAGCATCCTTGGATAGAGAAAAGTTTAAATTGTTAAAACCAAAGGCCAAGTGCATTCACATGGGGCGATAATCAAGAAAAAACAAAAATTGGGTGAGGTCATTTTTTCCCTTAAGAACCACTGAGCCAGAAAAGCTGAAACTGGCATTCTGTGGTTATTTTGATTCTAAATTATTCAAATCATAACCCCCAGGGGTAGAACGGGGACACAAAAGGGAATTAAAGTGTTACAAAGATATTATATAGGAAATCTTTTTTTTAATTTTGATCTCAGGAACCACTGGATAAGAAAACCTTAATTTTACGCGGAGGCATTCTGTCGTAATGTAGATTCTAAATTGTTGAAATCATGACACTGAGATTAGAGCGTGTTGAAATTGAAATATTTAGGAAAATACTTTAAAAATCTTCTTCACAGGAATTATTGGGTGAGTAAAGCTGAACTTTATGTGGAAACATCCGTGTGTAGTGTAAATTTTAAATGGTCCAAATCATTCCACATGTGGTAGGGTTGGGTCTGAATATGTATAACAAAGTAGGATTTAGAAAAGAACTGCATGGTCAAAGCTAATCAGGTGAGCGATGTGGTCCATGGGCCACTTATTTCCAATATTTATGATTATTTTTTTTTCTATTTCCAAATTTAATTTGATAAACAATTTCATAAAGGTTCTATTAAAAAAAACTACATCACGTTAATATGCACGGCTAAAGTCATTTCCATTTAATCATTATTTTGTGTTAAATGATACGAGGAAAAAATGTATACGGAAATAATTTAAAACAGATAGGATTAATGCATGAAACAAATATTACAAACAACCCTGATACAATATTTTTGTAGATGATTCAGTTGCCACATCTAAATTTGACGTGAACACGATGTACAGTATTCTGAGAAATCATGCAATTAACATCAAACCTCCAACAAACGGATGGGGCAGAAAACCTGATCTTGGGAAAAGACCAGCTGATGACCTAGAAAGAATCCGTTTCTACAGAAATTATGTTCTATGGGAAAAGCCAAATGCCATGCTAATGGAGAAAATAGCACTGGATTATAATTGGAAAGACCTTTCTGAGGTTGATTAATAGATTAATTGTATATTCTTTAAAGTCCCTCTCGAGAATTTTTTACTCATATGGAGACGTCACCGTATGCCGGTAAAAGGCTTCAAAATTTGACCTTTACTCGGTACTCAGGGCTATTGAGCACTGCGCCTGGCGCTGACACGGGGCCTCGGATTTTAAGGTCTCATCCGAAGGACCCACAACTTTCACTTCAAAGTGCCGAGCGCATTGCGAAGGAACAGTTGCTACCTTTTTTTATCGACTGGGTCAGTCACGAACTCACGACCTCCCGATCACGGAGTGAACTCTCTACCGACTGAGCTACCGTGAACGGTTTCTGTAGTTGAAAAGAACTTTATTTCAGTTAATTGAATGTTAGAAAATCATCTGAATTGAGCTTAAGATACATACTATTACTTTTAATCTTTACTTCTATTTCAAATATATACCCGATAGCAAACATGTATTCATGTTGATATAAATCTTTTTTGTTTCTTTTACAGGCAATTATAAGACTTAGAAATGGAAGACTTGAAAAAGATATAATTAGTTTGAGAAAAAGATCTGATATTTACTTGCGGGTGTTGAATAATACCTGCTCATCTTGTCCGCCAGGAATATATTTTTGATATCAAAAATAAACTTTTTATTCAGAACTAAATGATGAATGACGGTTGTTACTAAAAATATCTTTTGGAATGAACTTTCTGTGTCTGAGAATAATGTCAGGTTAGTCATCTTTTATATTTCTTCAATGTTAATCTTCATATTGTTCAGGAAAATTTGCGATATGACCTTAACAACTATATTTGATATGAAGTTCATTTACTTTGAATATGATGATAAATTATGCAAGAAAAAATCCTTCAGAATTGAGATGATTAAATATCTTTTATCTAAAATCACAAAAAAAAATCATTTACTCTTCTAGCTTTTTGAAGAGTTTTAAAAAGAATTATCATATTTGTCCACATGTGAAACGATCAACTATCATAAAATCTTAAAGAGTTTTTTTCCAAAGAAAAAATATGTTAGATGAAAAACAATAAGTATATATATATTTATGAGATTGTTTATAGCCATGTCTTATAGCAAAATTGACGTATACACTAATCTTAATTTATATGTGATATGCAATATGACATTGTACGCATTATCAATTTTATATTCTCCATGTGTATATTTATTAATTATGTCTCTATATCTGCGTTCTTTCATAGTGATATTGTTTTTATGACATATGTTTCCGAGGACATAGCGTCTTAAGGACCAATATATTTAAATGTGATGATTCTGTAAATGCGGGTAATGGAATTTGGTCAAAAATTCCAAACATTAAACCAATCAAACCCGAAAATGGATTATTGGATTATCCTTTTGAACAGAAGACAATCTGTTTATCTCCAAGAATACATTATAATTTCTGGGTGATATCGCCTGTTAACTCGACGTGATCAAGTTACTATTACAATAATTTTTTTATATACCCCCTTATATCTATCTAAATGCACCAAAATAAAACTTTAAACATCAATTGTATAATAGTTTAAGTTATCAACAATGGTCATTTCACGCACAAGAAAAATAACGTTTCTGCGTACTACATAAGACGTTTCAGAGAGTGGTGATTTGGTTCAGAAAACTACAGTGTGCTGATCCGGAAAGTCACGTCGTCAGGTTATTACGTAAATTCAACAGTGAAAGTGAGTGATATACATGCATATGTACATTAGGTATATAATACACATATGACCAGCACTCATCAGTTTGCATTGGCACGGGTGTTGCCATACACCAGTGCCTTTGAAAATGGACATATGTGAAAGAAAGAGGAGCTGACTAAAATAGAAGAATGGTACCAACCTCAGAGTAGTAAATCTCATAACAGAGACGCAGACCAACTGTAAGAAAATGTCACTCCTAAACTTTGAAAATTAACTTTTTTTTTCAAACTTAGTTTTATTTGGAAATAAAACTACACGGTCATTTTGATTTATTGTAAACTTTGTGACTTTATGTAATCTAATTAAAACGTCTTTGAAATTGCATATTCTTGTCTTCAATTCTAGCTTGGCACGTTTATAGTCTTGACCTGTGATTTGCTATTTATTTATTACATGTATTTAAGTGGTAATACCCATTCTCTGTCACCATTAAACTTTTTTGGCATGTATAGTCACAGCTTTTCTTCATATTTAGCTGGAATATTAACCACATAAACATGATAAACAACTTCAAAAAATATAGTGAGATCATATGAAGGATGAGCAGTTACCACGGAAACGGTGTCTAAAATTGAATTTTTCTTTAAAAAGAAATTGGGAATGTTTTAAGAAAATGCACTACATCAATTCATGTTACTTACAGAAATAAAGATATCTAATTGTAAAAGGTGTTTCTAAACCTAGCTTGTTGGTATTCAGTCTATGAATATGAGGAATAGCAGACATTCATTTTAAAACTGAATTATCTCCCTTTGAAAATTATGAGCTCTTCAGTCAGAGAGATAAAAAACAATTGTCAAAAAATTACTGGAAGTTGTTAACATATTTGTCATCTCTCACGAGATGACGCATTAAGTTTGCTTTCCGGATGTGACTTCGCAGTGCATGCAGTAGAAGCTGCCAGTTATCAATCGGCAATCCTCGGCTGCATGACTCCATCATACAAAAAGCGCAAGGCCACCCGAGGATTACCGTCTGGTCAGTTTGATGATGATGCGATTTTCTACATATAGATCGAGATGAAAACAATGAACTGATCTGCCTTTTTATTGAGAAAGAACAGCTGCACAGAAATCATAGATATTCAGACACACGTCGCCTAGGTGGTAAGGGTTCATAAAAATATACATGTACACTATATGTTCTTCTTGGCTATACATAAATGATGATCAGATATTCGATAAAATCTTCTAACTTGGTCAGAGCGACTGTAAAGATCCTCTGCGGCCGAGGCGTGGATCCAAGAATTCACAGAAATTAAAACAATGTCAAATTTTAAAACATTTATTCATGTAGAAGTAATCACATTGATTGATATGGATTGATGATAAAAACTTAAATTATTTGGCTCTTTAATATTTTTTAAATGATACAAGTCTGATTAAGCGATTGAATGTATTTTAAAAGAGTAAAGCAACGTCAGAAATTAAAAGCACATCTTATTAGCGGATACTTATACATCAATATCCATAAAAAAATCCAGACATTGGAAGATTAAAGTTAATATAAGATCACAAAGAATCTTTATGACTATTTTCTTGCATGTCTAATCAATTCTTTTTAATTAGTTTTCATGTTTATAATTAAAGAACTTGCAATCATTTTCCGTAGGCAGTATGAATTGCATTAATGGCAAAAGAAAGACATCAAATCAATTCTCCTATAATACTATTGAAACATAATGCTAAAATTATAATTATACGAGATTGTTTTTATTTAATATGCAGAAAAGTTTTAATGACAAAGCAAAAAAATATACAGTCAATTCTCGAATTATCGCCATTCGATTCATCGCCATTTTAGCTATACCGCCACGATCGACCCAGCATGGTTTTTTTTTCAATAGCAAAACTGAAGATTTAAATGCATACTCATGTACTTGTCTTTTTTCCATAACTGCACATATTGTTTTATAGCGAATTGATGAAAAAATTGAAGTATTTTTAATCAGAAATAAGTTTTATATACATGTACATGTAATAATAAGAACAGAAACGTTTAATGGTTTTTCTAAGAACGGTACCTCTACTTCTGGTTTTCCAGAAGATGGAAAATCCAATTCCTTGCCAAATTCGTGATACCGCCATGATTTCTAAATATCAAAAGGTGGTGGTTTATCGGGAATTAATTGTATATACATGATGTTTCTAGATACGCACTGCACGTGAATTCGGAGGATCACTAATGACATAAAACTGAATATTCCGAAAACAGCTGTAAGTTCGGGGTTTCCAAATGAGAACTTTTTCCAGATAATTTGTAAACACTTAGTTTTAGTTGATAGCATCTATAAATGTTACTACTTACATGACCTAATATCAAAAGCATGTGTGCTTTATTTCCTTGGATAAGCTAAGTGAGTAAAAGAACATTTTATATTTCAAGACCGCAGAACATTAACTGACAAGATTGGAGATATGCAACTTACCGGTATGTCATTTCTATCTGTTACAATCAAAACTTTAATGAAATACAATGGAATTGGCGGGTACAATTCGGCACTAACGGCCGAGAAAACATTGGATTGAATCTTGTCTGAAATTCATTTTAAATCCACTTCGCCTTCTCTAGAATATACGTTATTATACATGTACTAATTGACACAGAAGGCAAACTATTTCAATATCAATTTGAAATTAATGTATGAATCAGAATTTTCTGTTCAGCCTTTAAAGGGAATATGAAGGAGTCAATGTCTGATTTCTGTTTGGAATAATTTATATAATATAATTTATATGTGTGCGGTGAGGGGGGGGGGGGCTTAATGATGTCGTAAATGAATAAGGAAGTTGTCAAACATTTTTCCTTGAAGACAAAACAAAGGAATCTCTCGTCATTCTAAAATTAATTGGTACCAAGCATGATCTGACTCGACATCCCCCTTTTGAAAAAGATGGACGTTTCCTGAAAAAAAATGTCTTCTACATATTTCTTTTACCAGTGTCATAAGATTATATAGTAGGGGTAAGATTATATCAAAATAAATTTCAATTAACATGTATTTGGAAATTAAAATTATTTTTCTTTTGGATCATACATTTACACTTAGTTTTTGAAAACAGCTCATGTGGATTAAAAATGAATTTTAAACTAGAATTTCAATCAAATGTTTCTGTTATATTTGTCTACTACAAGCCCCCTCCGTTATCCACACTGTATAGTCATGTACTCCCCAAATAAATTTGTTAAAATATTTTTTTTCCTTTCTAGCTTATAATATACGCAACATAGAATTTTGAAGTTTGATGATTATACTATTTTTCTTTATCTAAAATTGTTCAGGTAAACTGTCACCCTTCTCTAAATAAATAGAAAAAAATAGCTGAAAAAAAGTTATACTTCACTGTTTATTCTGTGTCATTAAAGACGCCAAAGAGATGACATTTCAGGCTTTCTGGAAAGCCAAACCTGTGTTGTATATTTTAAATATCCCCGAGCCTTGGCAAGAAGATAACAGCACATGAGTTGGTTGCAATTTAATCACATCCAATAACAAGTCATGTGACATTCTTTTCATCTTATGTTTTATATTTTGTTTTATACACCACAAATAATGTTTTACACTGTTTTTAACTTTTTTATAATAGGATTCCACTTTTTACTATATTTGTACTTCATTACGCTATCTCAAAACCCATTCTGACGTAAAACTGTGGGATACAAAAAGATGTCACATGCGAGAAAGGGGAAACATGGGATAAAGTGCAACGAAAAATTTTGACATGTGGAAAATAGTGAAATGTGCAAGACTATACGGTACCGGAAATTATCTCTGAACATATTCTTGATAGCGAAACATTAGCCTTAAGGTCTCAAGGTCTAAACTCGCCCGTGTGGCGCAATGGTCAATGCATCTGATCTAGAGTTGTAAAGTTAAGAGTTGATCCTTACGTCACGTGTATGAATCCCACTGTGGGAAGTGGAGACCGGTCCTTCGGGTGAGATCGTATAAACAGAGGTCCCGTGTCGAAGTAGGCTCTGGCAAGAAAAAGATCCTATTTTTGTGTTCAAATGAAGCAGAATTGATGCAAAATCTTATGTGTGAAAAGAAGAAAGCACTTTTTGTGACTTCAACTCGACTTTTAGATATATCGACGGTATTCGACGACGTATTGTTAATTAACAATGGTAATTTACCTTAAGTTTCTACATCGATACGATATGTCCAGAAGAGCTTGAGGTAAAAGATCGATACCACAGAGTTCTGACACATCTGTTTCATACTTGGATATTTTACTTGAAAGAGACGTTAATGGTAACCTAACAACCAAGCTATATGAAAAACGTGCATGTGACGATTTTTACTTTTCAATCGCGAATTTCCTTTACTTATGCAGCAATATACCTTCATCACCTGCATACGGAGAGTGTATATATCAGTTGATTCGACACGTAAGAGCACGTTCTACGTATGAACAATTTCTAAAACGATGTCATTTATTGACAAACAAGTTGATGAAACAAGAATATCAGCAGTTTCGTTTAAAGTCATCATTTCGTAAGATCTAGGGTCGATTCAATTACCTTGTCAGCAAATACAATTTATTTACAGGCTACTATAAATTTGTATTGTTTTATGGACTTTGATATTGGATACTGTTCGTTGTCGTTGTAGGAATTTCTGTGAAATTCCTATATACACTAACAAATGCAAATACTATAGTTAACTCTAGTAAACTATAATTTACTATAATTAACTATAGTAATAACTTTGACACTTTGAAAACTTTGATTTACTGTAGTGATAATTGTGACACTTTAAAAAACTTTGGCGAAAAAGTTAACACTTTGAAAAACTTTATCAAAAAGAAGTATACAATGGTAAGAGCCATTTAAGGCCCCTTCTCAGAAACTGCTTATCTTTACTATGGAGAGGAATAAGGCAAAATATATAATCTAAAAATATAATCTAAAAATATATAATTTGATTTGATCAGGCGTTCCGTTGCCATGGAAACCGTCGTCAAAAACATACACTCTCAGACCTTTAAATCTGGCATCTATTGACATTTATTGACATTTAACCACTTTCCAATTTTGATACCAAATATACAGCCTTAAAATAATGATAGTATGTATATTTTGGAATATGTCAAAGTGACTGCTTTTCGAAGAAATTATATTTTGAATTCAAATGAAAACTTTATACAAACTTATTCCTTCATATATGAAATTAGTCGCCCGCGTGGCGCAGTGGTTAGAGCGTCTGCTCTAGAGTCGCGAAGTCAAGAGTCAATCATTACGTCACGGGTTTGAATCACTTTGGGACGTGGAGACCGGTCTTTCGGATGAGACTGTATAAACCGAGGGCCTGTGTCGCCGTAGGTGCTGGCACGTAAAAGATCCCTCGCTACTCATAGGCCCTGAGTAACACTTTAAAAAACTTTGACGAAAACTTTGACACTTTGATTTACTATAGTTAACTATATATAGTAAGCTTTTGTTAACTATAGTTAACATAGGGAATAACTATCTTCTAATATGGTATTTGCGACGGTTAATGCTGATTTAACGGTCGCAAACTGAGTTTACCGGCGACGCGTAAGCGAAGCCGGTAAAACGGATATTTGCGACCGTTAAATCAGCATTAACCGTCGCAAATACCAAATTAAAAGATCTGTTATTCCTATTCTAATGCAATCCATGCATTTTGATGGTTGTTTACGTCTTATTTTCTGATTTTGATGAATTTTGTTACAATAAATACGTCACGGAACATTGTGTTTTTGCGTCGCTCTATTATGACGTCACAATGAAAAAGCTTTCTCGCTCGTTAATGCTCGTTTAACTGCTTCAAACATCAGTCATTAGCCAATCAAAAAGTGTTTTACAGAATAATTGCATTAAAATATAATATTTTTTGTTAGGGTTTTCCTACAATTTTGGTCTGATTTGAATATAACATGCCACACAAGTAGACCACACCAATTTACATAAAAGAATGCATCGGTCTTTCATTTCGATGAACGGTGTTGCAATGATTGCAAAAATATATTATTGTTTTTTTATTGTATTATTATTATTTTATTACATTATTTTATATCATTATTATATTATATTTTATGTGAAACTTTTTTATTCTTTTTTTTTGGATATTCCTAGAATTTCGGTCTGATTTCAATATAACATGCCATATACGTAAACCTCATTAAGATATATAAAAGAGTGTGTCAACGGTGTTGCCATGATTACCAAAATAGTATTTTATGTAAAATTCATTTTAAAAGCTACTTCTCGAGTTTTGATCTGATTTCAATGAAACTTGCACACAAGTAGACTACACTGTGATACATACTAGTTATTGAGTGGCTGCATGTTTTTTTAATTCGATGGACAGTGCTGCTAAAAATAAAAATGACTATAAAATTCTTTTAAAACCCTACTCCTTCTACAGTTTTGGTTTGATGACAATGGCTTCCTTTCCGATCCTTTGTTTTTAGTAACAACCAGTAGAAATACAATCTCGACAGAGTAGAGATACAATCTCGACAGAGACTTTTGGGTTGTATTGAAAAAATTGAACTGTGAACCAAGTATTGCCATATGTAACTTTTCTTAGAGCTGAATTTACATAGGCTTGTTCACTGAGTCACATTTTTCAAAGTTTGAAAAGAGGTAAAAATCTATTTAATTGTAATTTAAATATTTTATGTACATATGAATAAAAAGGAGGTATTTAGAATAATAAGTCTTTATTGTCATTACAACACCAATTAACTAAAGCTCAACTGTTTCATTCAGGATACAATATTGAAACGCACAATCTATCCAAAAGATATTACATAATACAAAGCATGCATAAAATCACTTTTATTTTTCTGAAATCCTTTTACAATAAAAACAGCGTCATCTTATTGTTTTTATCATTATAATAATCATCATTTTACATACAGATTACATAATTTTTAATCATTTTAAATAAATAACAAAAAAATCAAACAATGTCACTTGCGTTAACAAAAAAAAAAAAGAATCTCTAATGTTTACAAAATGCTTGTAGCTTTTGTAACCGCCGTGATAAATGCTTTTTTTTTTCATTCTATGGATTGATTCAATGTCTAGTTGGTCGATTTATAATGGAAACCCAAATTTGCAACGAACCATTTCATTAAAGAAAAATAAATTAAATTATACAATTTCTGAGGAATATTTCCCAATATATTGATAGAATACTTAGAAAAATCACAAAGGTAAAAAATATTTGAAGAATGCTAAAAAATATTTAGAATGTAAAATAATTGCAAATCTTAAAAGATAAACATAGCCGTATTGATAATTTTTAACGAGAAATATTGTATAAGAAAAAAAGAAAAGTACCATAGCCAATGCTCGGAATTTTACATAACTCGTGATATGGGCGTATATTCATCCTGATGATTCATTTGTCTGTTACATAGGTCAAAATGGATTTTTTGGTATGAAGTATGATTATCCTTGTCTAATACCTCTTTTAAGCTATAGCAATATGTACATTTTCCATCTCCATCATACGGACTTTCAAAACATCCACAAAAACAAAGGCATAATTGTTTGCACCAGGACTTTATATCACAGGAACAATTATCATCGTCTAGCTCTTCATTTCTATCTTGAGTGTTCTGTTCATTCTCCTCGGATTCCTGTACATTTATTAACAATCTAACTTGTTCGTCCAAGTCATAATGCATTCTTTCTACTTTATCAGCATTATTTTCAAAAAACAAAATTTCGAGTATTCCCGGGGTAAGTAGTATAAATACATACATAAAGAATGTGTTTAAATCAAAGGAATTTTGACTGTCGAGAAAATTAACTTCGGTTAACGTAAGATACATAATAACAAGGAGAGATGAAGTCAGTAATACCTTTGCAAACAGAAAAAACAATTCAGTTTTAACAGGACAACAATATCTTATAATTGCATCAAAATCTCTGATAGATATTTCTTTAGTCCCTTTTAATTCTATGATCTTTTTAAGCAACAAACGGTAAAGTTCAAAGAATTCGAGGAAAAATTTGCTCATATAAGAAAACATAGCTGTTAGAAAAAGGAAAATGTGAAGTTGTGTTGAGTAAAAGTGTGGTATTCCAACAATAATGAAATAAATTAAAAACTGCACAAAAAAACTCATTCCAATCTATATCACACTCCCAAATCTCAAAAGTAATGTAATCAAAGTGATAGCTATTGATAAAGCATACACATGGTTTTTAATATAACCCTTACAACGGTTTGGGAAGAAGAGAACAACATACGATAAAGCAAGACAATACATATGATTAAATGTTGGAAGTGAAGAAAACACAATTACTAAAACTACATTAAACAAAAAAATTAAAGGAGAAAATAGAACCTTAAAATAGAAAAGGCATGTAGGCTTCGATACATTTATGAGTGGTAATAGGTAAATTTTACACCAAAAAGAAAGAGAACACATCAACGAAAACCTTTGCACAACTTGCGTCGTTATCGATTCAGATTCTTCGTTGTGATTGAGATAATTTGATACAGGTATACAACGGATGAATTTAATCGACAAAAAGTCTATAACAAGAATTTCATCATCAAATTCTGAAATTAATAATATATAGTTGTTAAAGTAAACTAAGAATATGAAGCTGAAAAATGTAGAAATTAAAATGGGATATATAAATAAAAATTTGTTGCCATCAACAACTCCATCCGTAACGTATACTTCCTTGTAAATATGAGCATTTGGTGGAAGACAATTGCTGCAGTTCCAGATTACAATGATTTTGGCGAAAAATGCACAACCCATCACTATAGTAATCAACAGAGATAAGCGAGCACTACTATAAAAATTATTCGCACGTTTTTGCCCTCGTGAGATGTTTTCTGCATGTACTACTTCACCAGTTTTGAACATGATATTAAGTAACATACGACGAGGTGTATATGGATAATCGGCTTCAGTGTATACACTTAGTTGTCTTTGTACTGTAGTCTCGTGTGAGGATTTCGACACAATCAAAGGATAGAAAGAAAAAAGAAGCAAAATAATTGCAATAGTAATGTAAATAACAGCAGACTTTTCAACAATTATAGGTACAGCTGTATTATTGTTTTGGTAGCAATGAAATCTATAACCAATAGCAGCATGAGATAAAGAAAATAGAGTTAATTTCCAATCTTGATTTTCAAAATATCTATGGCAAAAATACCCTTCAGAAACATTGCATGTTTTGAACAAATATTCAAAAACTTGAATCCACAATGTCTGATTAATACAATTTGATATATCATCTATACTAATGTTTAATTTTAAAGATCGGTCATTATCTTCCATTAGTCCTAACGTGAATATGTCAATATCTATCGGATATGATAAAAAGTGTTTGTATTCATTTGTCACCCATATCCAGTCAACAACTCTGTTCCATTCTTTTTCACTTAGAGACATATTTTGGAATGAAGATGAACTTATATTAATATAAACAAGTTGGACGCTTCCTTCCTGCATAAGGTCCTTAAATAATTGATGATGTATGAAAGCATCTACTTCAGATATTTTGCATGCAGCAACACTCGATCTTTCAGTTTCCAAAAAAGATATCATAATAGGGATTATGATCGTGCAGATCCCTTGGTGCTTCATGTCAGTTTCTGTAATCAAGAAAATAAGCAAAGATTATTTAATTTTTTTCAATTTACCATCTGCTTCAAACGAGACTGGGAGTGGTTTCAGGGCCTTCAAAAGAAATTTATTGAAAAAACACAATTTTTTTTAATTATCAATTAGTGGGGTTAATTTTTTCTTGTGTTGAAGGTTTCAAAAGACACATTATAATTTTATCTAAATGTACATATAATAAAAATTTTACTTATAATGTAAATATTTTGATTATTCAAAATGATTTTACGGATAGAGATAATTTATATTTCAACCCATAGAAATAGGATAGATCAGAAAAATTATTGCATGCATGCAATCATGAAGTCTACAATGTTCTACTTAGATTCAGACTAAAATATGTACTGAAAAATTGAGAAAGAATTTTGTACATGTATGAATGTCTTGACACGTCGAAAACTTTTGATAAGGCTAGGTAGGGCTTTTAGGGAATGATAAACTGACCGACATTCTAAATATTTCCCTATTTTTTTTTTATAGTATTTTGTTTCAACAAAAGCATATTTTGTATAGAAGTGAAAGTAATTTAATGCCAATTAGATAAATACTATCCCACATCACCCGTTTAAGTAAATATTGTATAAGGTTGTGCATGACATATTTCAGGCAAAAGGCTGATCTCATTTAATCATAAGAAAAACAGTTAATTCAAATGAAAAAAAAATAATCATTAAAGAAAAAGAGAATATAGATTAGGCGATTGCGCAGATAATTTTAATGTATAAAATTGCTTCTGGATAAAATTGTTTGCAAAATCTTGGTTATCTGAACTCATACGTCATATATCTTTAACGTGCATAGACAAAGATTTGAAATTCATATTTTCTCAATATTTCTGTTTAATATTTTAATATTAAGACTTATGTATTGCAATAGCATTTCACTCGAACATATAATAAATTTCTTTTTAAACCTTTTTAATTTCTAAATTGATGTAAATTATTGACAAGCAATTGTTAACGAAAAAAGAATATCAGAAGTCTCGTTTAAAGTAATCATTTCGTAAGATCTATGGTCGATACAATGACCTTGTCAGCAAATATAATTTATCATTGAGTCATCTCATACTAATTGTTAGTCCATTATTTATACACTGAATTGAAGACGAATTCTTCCGTCATTTCCTGATCATGGGAATGAGCACACGGTGGGTGTGACGGGTCAGCAAGGGATGCTCATTCCTCCATGGCACCCGATCCCAACTCTTATGTTTCGGAAGTCAGTGTTTGCCCTGCTCCTATTTTGTATTATTTAATGAATTCTGAGATTTAATACTGTTCGTTATGTATATATCCTTATCTGGAAGTTATTGAAAATTCGAGTTTTTGGACGGGTTGGATTGACACATCCTTGCACTTTCACAAAATATTCTTAATATTTAAAAAAAAATGACAATTCTGCTGTGTATTGAAACAGAAAAAAAAACCAGAAAAAATAAGGAGAAATGTTCGAAAGTAAAACACCCTCACTAGCATTGTCAGTCCGTGCTCAGTGTTCAATACAGAGTTTTACAAATTAAATACACCCGTGAAACATAAATCATTTTTGTAAACAGGACACGAGCTATGTTATTAGCAATGTTTACGATTCATCGGGAGTGTTTAATTGTTAAAGTCTGTACACATCAATTAGCACAGACTGACAATATATATTATTATACTTTCAAGTTAAATGCAATGTACTAAAATCTGATTGGTTTAGACTCAGTTAACAATCTGTTCTATTACCCTCAGCCTTAGCGACACATGTGACAACGGGTAACACAACAGCAATGCCACATGCGTGGAAATTATGCGCGTACGGTTCACCGTAGGATTCTCAAAACGTCAGTTGCGGTTTGAAAGAACCGGAATAAACTTGACGTCAATAAAAGCTTGCGTCCGATCTTACTTGAAAACAACGAACGACAGACGAATCATGCTTGCGAGTGCAGAAATATCGAAACTTTAGATGATAAATATATATTATTATAACAGTAACTTGATCCGAAGGGTCGTATCACGTCGAGTTGACAGGCGCGGATCATCGGATCTAACGAGACGCGAAGCGTCGAGTTTGATCTGATGATCCGCGCCTGTCAACGAGACGTGATACGGCTCTTCGGATCAAGTTACTGCTATAATGATAAATTTATTATATACCACATCATAACTAGAAAAATATAGCAAAAGAAAACCTCAGAGATCAATTGCATAACATTTATCCATAAAACAAAGCATAATAACAAGGGACTTTTTAACGCGCAAGAAAAATAACGTCATATTTCTGCGTACTACGTCATCAGTTTCAGAGAGTGGTGATATGGATTCAGAAAACAACATGTTGGTGATCTGGAAAATCGGATCACGACGTCACGTGATAGCGTAAATTCAACAGTAAAATTGGGTGATACACATTAGGTATATAATAAAGGACTCGTAGAGTATCAACTACATGTAAACAATAAAGAGGTCAGTAAATCTTTTTCGAAGTAGCGAGGAGTTTGAAAGCTTTCTAAACGTAATCAAAGAGGCGAAAAAGATTTTAAAACATCCTCCGGCGGTCGATGAAAGTTTATTTAGTTATTCCAAAAGAATGTCATATAGTGATCATAAAAGAATCAATACGGTGTTGTTTCTCAACGGAAACGGAAAACCATGCCATCAATGAACTACCGTATAAGTGGAAACTTTAACGAGACGCAAATTTAGCGATTTGTCCTTAAAAACTGGTAATTTATTTTTAGCTTGGTGTAATTTTAGCGATTTTAAAATGCACATTAAATAAGCTATTGCAAATAAAACGCAATTAATTTTTAGCGATATTCATTTTTAGCGATCTCTGCATCCTCGCTAATAATGCCAAAATAAGATCTTCGCTAAAAATTCTACTTATACGGTATAAGAATTTAAAATGAACGTCTACAATTTTTAAAGTCCTCTGAATTTTTCAATTGAGCATGTATTACATACAGGGTGTCCCAAAACATATGTTACACTTTTAATCACTTATAACTTTATCAAATTAATAGCATTCACAAAAATATTTTGTCAAATTCTAATGTATCAGCATACATTTTATCTGACAAACTTTAATGAACTTTCTATTCAAGAGTCAGGTAATTATGATGTCCTAATGACGTCATCATATTTTGATATGGAACCTTCTTGTGAAGAGCTGGTAGAAATTGTAAAACTTTACAATTGGTCTTAAATTGATACTTTAGTCATTAGTGACATAACAAAACAACATCTTGTTATGAAAGTCCTCAACAGAATACTAATTTACATGTTTGTGAAGGTATTTGAAGTTAAACTGCTAGAATATATGTTATATTTTCAGCTTGGTAAATAAAAACTTCAGAAATTGAGTTCAAACAATTTCATTTCAATGGACGTCATTTGGAACATGTTGTAAAATGACATATGTTATTCTAAAGAAAAAAATATTGTTGATTAATAAGGAAATTGTGGCAACGGTATGCTTTACAAAAAAAATTATAACAATGCTATTATATATTTTAATTTTCATAATTGTAACTTGAGGCATAAAATTTTTATAACGGTTTAAAAGTGTAACATATGTTTTGGGACACCCTGTACATCACCTTTAATCGATGTAAAGAATATTTATTACGATCGTGTGTGAAATTCTGTTGTGAACTAGCCCCCCCCCTCCCTCCCCCGCCTCGCACCCAAACACTGTTTAGCGACTGAATACTAAGTGATATTCAAACGCATGGATACAGACAAAACGTGAAAAACGCAAATTGGAATATGGAGATTTTCGAGTTTTGCGGTGCATAAGAGTTATTCATAGACAAGTGTTTACAATACAGCGCTTTACTTTCGCCAAGCAAACAGCCTATTTTTCATCCAAATTAATAGTATGGAAACGATTAAACAGTAATCAGCTTTGCAAGCAAACTAATGAGAAATTAATCCAAAACTGTTTTACCAACAAGTAAAAATGCATCAAATCTGTCGGATAAATTTGTCGATTTTTTAGATGCGGAAATTCAAGGAATTTGAACTTTTACAACAAAACAGCGAACATAATGAGATACTAGATTAAAGGCTCATGTTTATGTATTCAAAGCACTCCACAGACAATCTACAAAATTATATTAGTGAACTGATCGAGCCGTACAAACCTTCTCGTAGCATACGCTCTGAATAATCAAGTCCTTTAGTGGTGCCATCAACGAGGACTATGGGATATGGGAATAGACGATTTGATAGAGCGGCGCCTACTTTATGGAACTCCCTGCCTTTGTACTAAAAAAATTATGATTCAGTTGGAAGTTTTAAGAAAAAGCTTGAAATTTTTCTTTTTAAAAATGCATATGACTTATAAATTGTGTGTCTAAGCCTTTTATTATATTTTAAAAACAAGTTTTAATCTCTTTAGTACTTTTACGGATATTGGACACTTTAATTTTTTATACAGATATTGGACACTCTATTTTTTTTTTTTTTTTTTTATAAATTTATCTTACGATTTTTGAATATGACTGCTCTAAGTATTTGCTTAGGATAGTGTGGTATGGATTAGGTACAAACAGGGGCATGAATTAAAAGGAAATTGACATCAGAGTCAATTAATAATGATTATTATATGCCTTAACTTAGAATTTGCTGACACTTCAAGCATCTGAGATAAGTAATTGCTTCGAGGAAAACTGCGTCGAAAAATCCAACGGACAGACATGCGGACACACTCACAGACAAACAAACAAACAGACATAAAGTCCAAAGTAAAAAGATCTATTCATTTCTCCTTCTGAGTAGCATATAAAAAATCTTAAATGAATCGTACACATGTTCACAAGAATTGTTGCAGGCACTTTCCATTAGAAAGACCGGCCTATTAATTTATTTAAACATAAGATTTTACTGTAGTAAAGTTTCACTGAAAGACTGCTTTCATCCACATCCCCTATTCTCAAACTTTTTATTACAATATAGTGACAATCTTCATATCTTTCCAAATAAATATTTTTCTCGAAAAAAAAAATTGTCCTTCCCATCTCAAAGTAGGATTTTCGAGTAAGAACATTCGTTAAAGAATATTCAGTAAGTGTTTTGTTTAGCTAACTAGCATCTATTCTTATACCCCTTCCTCCTCCATTTAAAATAGTTCATGTGCTTGCAATAGCTGGAGAAAATGTTACATTTCACTGTTTTTTTTTAAATACTTGAAGCCAAAGAGATGACATCTAAGGTTTAATTAAAATTCTTGTAATCTTTTACGAAAACGTCTCGGTCAGTTTGCGGTGTAGAACACCCCGGTTGGGAAGAGGCTTCTCCATAAATTTCCATGGCCAAATACAGTTTTTACATAGTAATTGATATAGAAAATTGTTATAAAAAATATTTCTGAAAACCGATATTAAAACAATTAGAAATATACTATTTTATATCAGTCGTATTTTTTGTGAAAAGAATGCTATAAAACTTATCATGCCTTTATAATAAATAATTGAATCACGCTCAATATCATGTCAATGGAAAAAATAAGAAATTCCATATGTATAGTGCACTGCATTGAGGTAATTTAATTGTATGAAAAAATCAAGTATTTATATTCAATTTAAATAATTGAAATTATAAGACTTACGAAATAGACATACCTTTCGAATGCTAAAATTAACCAATTGGCTTTACAGTTTTTTGATGTTATTTTTCAGAGAGCAGGGTTTGAATTGTATTGCAACAAAACAAGCCTTTATAAATGTTTAGCTCAACAGGGGACTGATAGCGAACGTCAATCAATTAGAAGGTAACTGCCTTGAAAATATGTAGGCAAGTGGGAGTGACATATTCATTGCCAATTTAATACAGCACCTTTAAATTTTGAGGTTTTCCAATACTCTGATAAGAAAGATAACTCTTAAAATCATCTAGCATTCCTTAATAAATTTAATTTAATTTAATTAATTAATTTTAGTTTAACCTTCTTTGCTGTCCAATATTGCCTTGCAAACAATGGTATAATTCTGTATTTCATACCTTACAAATACTGTTCTTTTTGGAACATCTTTAGAATAATATAAACATTTCATATGAGTGAGCGGAGTGTTTATACATGTAAACCTTAATTGTAAGGTTCTCCAACTCTTCATTTAATTTTTAAATTGATATTATATAATTTTTTTGTATATTTCATCTTCATAATATTATACAACCGGGATCTTTATTTTCAGTGATAGTTTTCCCCTGAACAAAATCGATTCCTATGCTAAAATGTTTTAGCTACTTTTCACAGAGAAAATTTTGAAATTATTTCTTATCAAAATTATTATAGAAATTCTGCCATCGAGTTACTCTATTGAATATCTTTTGAAAGAAGGAGTACAATGTACAATGTACAAATAGACTCCAAGGTACTCTTTAAAAAGGGAGCATGGCCGTAAATGTAATTAATTCTAAGAAATTCGAATTCAGCGACACTACTGTCTGTTCAATTGAAGAGGTAAGTCCGCTTGAAGTGGCTCCAAGCAAAATGCTACGGAGTCACCACATGCTTTTTTATTCATGTAAAGTAGATTTTCAGACAAAAATATTAAAGTAATGATTAATGTTCTGCTTGTCTGACATATCAGTAAGTCCTCGACCACAACACTACGCCAGCTGTCTTCTGTCCAACTGCAAATCGACAACAATTTTTGTGCACATGAACAATATCACATATTAGTGGAAATGTAAATTGAATTCAATTAGCATTTTTTAAAAATATTTGATTCACGTTCATATATCTTTTGATAGACTGTAAAATAATTTTGCGGTAATATTATTTTTATTTTTTTTCTTATAACTGTAATCATGTTTTCACGTTATGTAAATTATATCTGACATTACCTTTTTTACATATCAGGTAAAAAAACTGATATATGACAGATTTCAAGTACAATTTCGGTCACCACAGATATGTCTGAGATATTGCAGAAAAAATGACCTCATTTTATCATACGACAAACAATAACCTTCAACTATCAAGATTTAAAAAAAAAATAATGATAAAAATAAAATAAAAGAAGAAATGAGGGTTATATCAAGCGATTGCGTCGACAATTCCCTTGTAATTTATTGCTCCTTGATAAAATTGTATGCATAATTTTGGATTAAAATCAATTATAAAAATGTCATTGAAAGATTTAAAATTAACAAGTTTCGTTGATGAAGAAAAAAAAATTCCTGAAAAATGTAATATAAGTTATGATTAAATGATCAGGAATTTTGGTGCCCACTGATTGCTGTAGACGTCTGTTCCTGAGATGTATCTCAGAGTGAGTTCACTTCATATGACGTTCTGGGGGTTAATTCGGGTTTTTCCTCATGACCAACCTTAGATTTGCTTACAGTTCTTTCGACCAATCAGATTGAATGTTTCAAACCATGTGTCGGTGTGATTGTTTGTATATTGTTTAACGTCCCTCTCGAGAATTTTTCACTCATATGGGGACGTCACCGTATGCCGGTGAAGGGCTTCAAATTTTGACCTTTACTCGGCACTCAGGGCCATTGAGCAGTGAGGGATCTTCATCGTGCCAGCGCCTGCTGCTGACACGGGGCCTCGATTTTTAAGGTCTCATCCGAAGGACCCGCAACTTTCACTTCAAAGTGTCGTGCGAATGGCGAAGGAACAGTTTCTACCCATTTTAACGATTAGGTCGGTCGGCTGAGATGCGAACTCACGACCTCCCGATCACAGAGCGAGCGCTCTACCGACTGAGCTTCCGTGAACGATGTGTGTCAGTGTGAATGTAAACATGTCAGACGCCAGTACCAAGGAGAGTAATTGCTTTTGAAAGTAAATGGTTGAGTATTTATTGTCAAATGATATTGTTTTAAATTTTTAACTACTAGAAGTTAATTAATAAGTCGTGACAATTATATTATGGGCGTTTTTTTTATGGAGACAAGATTGAAGTGTCAAAAGTGTTATAAAATTCCTGATTATTTAATAAAACGGTTATTGACATTTGAATTCGGTCTACTAGTGACTATACAGACCTGCCTTCGGCTTCGGTCAACCAATTCTGGACCAGGTCTGTATGGTCACTTGAAGACCTCATCAAAAGTCAATACTTGTATAAAGTCTGGAATGAAATGGAAATGAGCTCATAATTAAATGTTTTCGTTTTAATCTGCACCAATCAAAGACAGGACGCGTTCTTCAAATGGAATACAGCCGTGTAATCAACAATATCCTACATTTTTATTTTCTTCTTATTTTGCAGAGAAAACACGGACCTTCTAAAGATATGGGATTAGGTGCCATGAAGGAGTGAGCATTTCTGCCGACAGGTCACATCTGCCGTATTCTCCTTGTCATGATCGGGAAATAAGCGAAAAAAATCCGTCGTGTGTAAATACTGGACTAACAATAAGTATGAAAAACTTCAGCCAGCATTTGACTCAATGATAAATTGAATTTGCTGACAAGATAATGGTTTCGACCACAGAACTTACGGAATGATGACTTTAAACAAGACTGTTGATAGTCTTGTTTGATCAACTGCTGAACACAATTATACAATGTAATGACACTTCTAGAATTTTTCATTCATTCTGTAAAGCAACCACTTTACAGCAGAGTTAAGCGAAACTTACTCTGCACTTTGCACTAACGGCATGTAATTAAGCAGTGAGGGATTCTTTTTTGTGCCAGCTACTGCACCATGGGCTCTCAGTTTATCTGTTTGCAACCAAAAAGCCGGTGTAAAGACAAAAAATGGCCCCAATAGGATAATGGCCGTGGGTCTTTTTTCAAGGTCGAAATATTACCTCTTGACATAATTCGACGTCCAAAATTACCCTTTGGTCTATAGAAAAGACGTCATCATCCATATTATTATATGATTGAATAATTTCCATCTCTCTGATTGGCTGAGATCAAACTATGTTAGAAAAATATTACATTGTATTGACCTGCATGTGATGTTCCAAGTCAATACAAGGCTTTATTTCCTCTACATTGATCTAAAAATAGATTAGGAAATTCCAAATTGAAACATATTGTTTAAAAAAGCTATTTAAACGACTATGGTTTTTATTTACATGTGACCAAAACATAAGCAAATATATATTTTAGGTGCGGGTGGAAAGAGGGGATGCAGGGAAGCCCCCCTCCCCCCCCCAACACTTTTACTGAACAACAAGTTTTTCTTTTATATTTTGGCAGTCAGTTTTCCCTGATAATACTCATTCCTTTCAAAATTTATCTATAAAAAAGACTGACATTATATATTTCTTTCATGGATACTAAAATAAATTTATAAAAACATTTCAAGTTGATTCGACTGGTAAGGTTTATTAACATTTAAAATCCTTTTCTCTATTGTATTTGGCTAGGAATTATTAAAATGCAAACAATTACTGAGCTGTATCATTTTATCAATGAATCATATAATAAAACAATTATTGCTGTTTTTTCGGTCAATACAATGATTTAGCCATCTTCGAAGTACAATATTCACCTCGCCCTTCGGGCTCGGTGAATATTGTACTCCTCAGATGGCTAAATCATTGTATTGACCTCAAAAACCAGCAATAATTGTATATTATTTGTTTATTCAAAGTGAAGAAAACTGACCCCCATAGAATAATGACTCCTTAGGGACTGAAGTTGAGATTGTAGTGGCATAAAAAACGCCATTACTATTTTGCAACTCATTCGATACCTCTGGATAAAATTTAATGATGTTTTAACAGATTTTTTTAAATTATGCAATTTTGCACCTCGTCTTTCACATTTTGATCTGCGGCTCTTTGCCTGGTCTCCAAGACAAAGCATTTATCAATATAATTATATGGGAGGCGTGCTATAACGTGGTTGCTCAGTGTTCACTGTACCTCAGTTTAAATCTTGTTTCATTCCATCCTTTTACTCAGCTCTGTGTATATTTTTTAGATAGTTTAATTTCAAAAGCAGAACAATGCTTTCTATTTTAGTAACATTTCTTTATACCGAAGCACCAGTCACGGTAGCCTAGTGGTAGAGCGTTCGCTTTGTGGTTGGGAGACCCGGGTTTGATTCTCGTTCTCGGCGCCGCCTCATACCTAGGACGTAAACAAAAGGCAGTGACTGTTACTTCACCAAGCGTTCGTCACCAAAAGTGAAAGTCACGGGTCTTTCGGATATGACCTTAAAAACGTACGTCCCTTGTCATGGTTCATTCTGGCATGATAAAGAACCCTCACTGCTCAATGGTCCTAAGTGCCTAGTACATATGTATAAGTCTAGATTTGAAGCCCTTCACTGGCATACGGTGACGTCTCCATATGAGTGAAAAAATTTTTCAGAGTGACATTAAACAATATACAATCAATCAGTCATACTGAAGAAAAATACAAGTATGAAAAATTAATGTAAGACCAGTCCTTTCCATTATATATACTTCGCACAATATTACACGTAAAAACTTCTTTACAAATCATACACACTCAAAACAAGAGTTACGTGAGCTATGAGCTCACTAAGTGATACCCCCGCCTTCCACATGATGATATTGTCAGAATCCTTTTTTTGGATTGTGAGACCCAAAATAGGTGTCAGATCAAAATCTGTTGGTTGTTTTAGAATGTGCAGATGGGTAATTGAGGCGTGGTTCTTTATAACATTAAAATCATGAATAAAGGTTAAAAAACTTACTTTATACTTTGTGTTAATGGTTGTTGGTAG